CCCTGCAGGATCAATAAATCAGTCTGGCAGCTTAGGTGCTCCACAGAGCGGGCGCCTCTCCAGGGGTGGGCTGGGGGACGAGCCACTGACACACGCATTAAATAAAAAGAGTCAATCGCGCACAAAGGAAAGACTCATCGGGGGTTGGGGGGGGGTCCTCTGAATGCCCGAGTGGCCGTGCCGCTATGTGTGTCAGTGTGTTAGCACGAGAGACAAAATGGGAGGAAAAATAGGACACGGCAGAGTTCAGCTCAGTGGAAACGAAAAACACAGGTTCCAACGCTGGGAGCTGTCTTTTGTCCAACAGCGCCCCCCAGTGCTCAGCGGAGGTTCATGTATCCATGCCTTTGCCCAAGCCGGTTCATTTCTCTCCTTGATTGTTTTTTTTTCTTTTGCAGCAATTTGGGAAGATTTTGGACGTAGAGATCATTTTTAACGAGAGAGGCTCAAAGGTAAGCGCACACACACACACACACACACACACACACAGAGTACCCATTCCAGGCTGAAGTCGTGCATTAAAGTGCGGTGAAAAGCCTCCTCCACCTCTCAGCAGTGCCTTCCACCCCTCTAACCTCTGCTGTGTACCACAGGGCTTCGGCTTTGTGACATTTGAAAACAGCGCAGATGCAGAGAAGGCCAGGGAAAAGCTCCACGGCACGCTGGTGGAGGGTCGGAAGATAGAGGTAATTTAGCTTTCTTCCTCTCCCCCTCCTGTCTTCTCTCTGTGCTCCTCATCATAATTCTGCTTGATCACTGACTGCCGGCTAGCTCCCACCCTCCCTTATGTGACATGCTCTGATGCAGCCCATTGGTGTCCCGCTCCCCGCTCCCCTGCAATATGCTCCTCGTCTTTTCTGAATCCAACGAGACTTTGTTTCCTCATTTTGTGCAATGGCTTTTTCTTAATGTGGCGGGAATGACCGGGGGGGGTGGCGGGGAGGGCTGGTGCAAGAACACAAGATTACAGCATGCTCCTTTTTTTCTTTCCCCATTAACCTACTGCCTCTTCACCTTTTTCTTTTGTTTTTTGGTTCACTTTTTGTCCCCAATGACGCACAACTTGTCACCGCACCGACGTGTTTCCACTTCTCGTGCAACAGTATGGAATGATGTTTTGTGTAACTGGCACCGGAGGGCACGAGAGGAACTCAGGGGAGAGGACGGATGCATGGCAGATTGCTGTCAGATGCTCTTTATTGTCTTCCCGGGCGTGGAAATCCCTCTGTGTTCCCCTCTCCCCGTGCGGTGGCTGTGTGGTTGTGACAGCTCATGGCTCCCGGTGCAGCAGCAGCATGCCGGGGAATCACAGCAACAGTGACGCATGCCCACTTCACGGAAGTCAGGATTTTCCGCTGAACTGTACACTGGAGTTTTTTTCCTTTTTTTTTCTTCTGTTGATCCGTGTGCTTTGGGGTTGTTTGTATTTGTTATGACATTGATTTTTTTCCCCCCTCTGTTTAGCCGAAGCATGCGCTGCCTTTTTGACCGCAGGCTTTTGTCTTTTATTTAATTGGGGGCTGGGTAAGCCTGTTATCTATATCCAGCCGCCTGACTTGAGCCTGGATCTCTGCATGGGTGTACTGTGGTGATCTCCTTGTGGGGGTGTGTGCGTGTGTGTGTGTGCGCGTTGGGGTTGCGCGAGTGCGTCAGCCCCTGCATGGTGGACGAGGCCGGGAGATGAAAGGTGGCCACCGGCGCCCACCTTCAGCCAATCGGCAAGCTGAGTGGATGCTGACGGAGGCAGCTCGCCCTGCATCAGTGTCACCCCATCAGCAAACCCCCCCCTCCCCCCCAAAATCCCCTGGCATTGCTTTCACTCGACTCTGTGTTTTTCCACAAGTTGTGCATGACATCTGTCACTTTTGTCAAGCAGTGCGAGGTCTGTCTCTTTGTTTGTTGTTGTTTTTTTGTTGTTGTTTTTTTCCAGCTGCCACTTTGCATGTCATGGGTGGTGCTCTGGTTGTGGGGATTGGTCTGTAGCGAGTCGAGCATCAGCAGCATGGCGGGGCCTGCAGCAGGAGTGTGCAGAGTGCGCCTCTGTCTGTCTCTCTCTCTCTTTCTCTCTCTCTCTGTCTCCGTCTGTTTATGGTGCATGAGCTTGAAGGGACAAAAAAGGCTAGCGCAGGACAAACCGCGGACTTGTGTTTACGCATTCTTTCCACCAAGGAGAAAAAGGGGACATCTCTATTTGAGGCGATGCTCGGCGGCAGCTCTCTCCTGGCGGACGGCGCCGCAGCGGCCTCCCGCTTCCGTCCGCCCCGCGGTTTCAGAGTTTGCTGATGTGCGTTTTTTCGCAGGCGAAAAGAAGCCAAGCCGCGCTAAAACAGCTAAAACAGCTCAGAAGCTCTGAAACACAGGCCTGCTGCTTACGGGACCTCGGTGGCGTTGCTGTGTGATCGGGGGTTTGCTTTGGTCCCACCGGCATGGGTTTAGTTTAGCCCACGAGACCTGGGCGTGCATGGTCGACACTGTGACATGGGTGTTTCAGGGCATAGCTGAGTTTCCAGTGTGGACAGATGCATGTTTATTGTGCGTTGCTGTTTTTGCTCAGTTTGTTTCAGTGAGGGGGGATTTAGTTTACTCCGTTCGTCTCGGTAGCATGAAGCGCGCCTCGTGGTCTCGTCCCACCCGAATTAAAGGCGGACCCGATGAATAATTATTTCACTGAATGATTTAAAAGGGAATGCTTGTGTGAACTTGATTTTTTTTTAATTGTCTTTTTTTTTCATGGTGCATGACAATGGAATTTGGTCACAGTCGCTGCCCGTAGCGTGCATGTCTCTAGCCTCCATGAACACGAAAAAAAAAAGCTAAATGTTGCCCTTAAAAGTCACACTGTACTTCTCTTTGTCTGGGATAAAACTCTGCGCTTTGAAGGAAGTCAGTTTCCTGTCCGCTCCCAATGTGTCCATGTAAGTGGCCCAACTACAGTTCACTTTGTCTCTGATCTGCTTCTCATCCATCCCATCTCACGGTCACTCCCTCTATATATAGAGTCCTCCAGGCCTATATATAGGCGATGGTGCGCGTCTCAGAAATGCACTCGGAAACACGCGCACGCCGCCCTCCCACCGTCCATCCATGGCTGTCTTTTGGGATAGTGTGTACGCCCCGACGGGAGACGGCGCCCACTCATTGTCATTTTCGGCATTCATTCGAGGTGCGATGTTTTTTTGGCAAATGCAATAAAAAAAAGTCGTTTGAAGCACACCAGGGGGGCCCTGGCTTTTTTTATTTCTTCCCTCCCAGGTTTGGGCTGTGGGCACATTCGGCGCATGCCAGGCGACAGCTGGAAACGGTTCACCGCATTTCACTCCCGCAATGTCTTTGGGAGAGCCGCGGCTCCGATAACGTTTAGTCTCTGGAGCACCGTTTCAATAGATCCTATCTATCTACTTATCAATGACTAACACCATTAAGGTCGATAGAATAATCATATTCATACTCGATTTCGCACAGCAACACAATGAAAGACTGCCAAAGCCAGGATGTCTGTTTCAGATTAAATCCCAGGCTGAAACCTGCCCGGTCTGGCTTGATAGATACTATAGAAACCGGACCGCGGCAGAGATGGTGCTCCGAGAACCCCGAAAGCCGCTGAATTCCGCACTATTGGGCGGTCTGTGTTGCGGGAGCGTGACGGGAGGCGATGGCTCCTCCGCGGCGCAGAGTTTTAGTCAGAGCAGCCGTCGGGATGCAGCCCCGCATCCAACACGACAAGGCCGAAGGGGAGGGGAGAGGAGGGGGGGGGGTGGTCGACAGAGAGTGGCCGCCATCGCAGCATGGATGTGTCTGATGAAATGGATGAGATGAGGATGTGCCTGCGGTTCTGCATGCCTGACCATGTTTATCCGCACCAACCAGTCTGCTGCCACACACCCCTCAGCGGGACACAGTTTGCCTTCAGCTCACTCTGGCCTGCAGATTTTAACGTTTTTTTTTATTTTATTGGATTGGCAATGGCCTGGGTTAAAGGCTCACCTGTTGTTATTGTCCCCCCCCCCCACACACACACGGTTTTGGAATATAACTGCATGATGAATGAAATTCGAGATTTTCCTTGTGTGTTTGTTTCTGTGTGTGTGTGTGGAAATGTGGAGAAGATTTCAAAAAGAAAAGGGGGAAAGAGAGCTTGAGCTTTGCCCTTTTCAGCCCTCATCGCTCTTGCTCTTTCAAATGTACCCCCATCTCTTTCCTGCCAGTCGACTTTGTCTTTGTGTCATCTTGTTTTTGTTTTTTTAGATCAAAGTGTGTTTTGTTTTTGTTTTTTGTTTTTTAATTCTCATTTTCACTTTCTTTGCTGTCCTCTCTTGCCTCACTTAATTCCAATGTGCATTTTCTTTGACTGTCTTTGGGTGTCTTTTTTTTTCTTTTTGGTGACTGGTTCAAGCTAGTTATTATAGTCACTGTACCCAAACACCCCCACCCCCCCACACTTTGTGGTGTAACTTTGCCACACAGGAATGAGTTGTATCCCCACAGTGTCTGGCCAGAATGCCCCCCCCCACCCCGACTTCTTCCTCTGACCATAACACGCCCACTGAGCCAGAAACCAACCTTTGCTCTTCTTCTTCTGTGATGACGGGTGTTGTCCATTTCTATCTGCTCTCTCCCTTTCAGTTCCAATTCGCAATATATTTCTGTGTAAAAAGAAAAAAAAGTACTTCTTAGGCACAGGCAAGTTCGGCCCCTAGATTTATCCTTTGCTACCATGTTTTTTTGTTTGTTCTATAGAGCACCGAATAGCTTTGTTCTACCTGTCAGATTTAAGTAGTGATGGTCAGAGCATCGAGAGCTAGCATCCCCTCTCCTTTCTCTTTCTCTCTCTTCCTCCTCTCGGCCTCTGCTGCTGTCAGGTTTTATTTTTTTGTTTTTGTTTTTTTTCCACATGGGGCACGGAGGGGGACATTTAGGTTTCTTTTGTTTACGAGGATTATTTGTTCCTTCATTTATTATATTTTTTCTGTTTCCCTGACGACTTCTGTGTGTTGTTGTCAGTCTCCACGGTAACCACTCGCTGTTTCTACGGCAACGGTAAGTTGTGTACAAACATCACTGATCTGATCCTTTGCCATCCACCCTTTAGAGGGGCATTTTGACACAGTAATAAGTAGAGTTTGCCATGCAGCTACCGCTTTCAGTCTTTACATTTTCCACGTGCTGAATAACTTGAATGCGACAGGCTCATGTAGTGCGACGCCCCCCCCCCCTCTCCCAATACACAATTGGTTTGATTGTAGCACACAAACGTGACATGTTCCAAAAGAGTACATCTTCAAGCAGTTCTTCTTAATTTAATTTTTTGTTTGTTTTCTTGCCCACACATACCCCCCTCCCAAACACATCATTAACACCTTAGTGGTTAACTGCTCTCCTATATGCTGTGACACGATAATTCCTCCATCTGGCTCAGTACCGGTGGTTTTCACCCCTCAGAGCGATTAAAAAAACAGCAGAAATGATGCAAAGCTTTGCGCCCTTTTGCTGCCTGCGATTGCTTTGACTGAATGCAGAGCCACAGGGCACATTAAGCCTGCTCTTATGTATTTTTTATTTTATTTATTCATTTATTTGAAGTTTTACTGACCAGAACGCTTTGGGCATAGATGGGTGTTTTTTTTAATTACATTTTTTAATGTTTGACACATATATTTGACGGGCGGGAAAAAAAGAAAAATACACCATTGAAGTCAGACACCTCAGTCTATTAAAAGCTTCACACGCATACTGATTTGCCTCCTCTCTCAGGAACTATTTGGAACCAAATAAATGAGGATTTTTCATTATAATTATCCATGTTAATAAATACAACATGTAAAAGCCACTTTTCTCCCCGTACAGGCTTGGTTGCACCAGTTTTTCATCAACTTCTTTCTCGTTAAACCTGCCATTTCTACAGAAATATTATGCTGAACATGGTGGTCACATTAGAATGTTTTTGTTTGTAGTTTGTCAGAAAAAGTTAAGTGGGGATGAAATGAAATAAAAGAGAATGGAAAAACTCCATTAATCCACAAAAAACTGCATCCCTTTGGGGGTTCGATCGGAAATGGCAACAGAGACTAAAAGGATGTTACTCATCAGCTCTCTCCTTCCTCAACCACCAAAGAAGAAACCGGTGAGGCCGACCAGCCCGCTGGTATTATATTTCAGATGCTCCGCAAGTCCTAATGAAGGGCACTCTTCAATTTCCTGTTATGGATAATACTTTGTTCCAGTTAGGACAACTCCTTCCAGCACAGCTACAAGCTCACCTTATTGGCTTCAGATCAGACATTTTGAGCCAGTTAACACACCTCATATGTGGGCTGTAAATACATCATACTTTAAGGAAACCGATGGTGGTTCTGAGTGTTGGTTCAGATGTGCCCCAGCTGATAGGGACTTCATACACTTTTAGTTTGAAATCATACATAGCATAGGTTTCATAGGTTTTGAAATGAAACAAAATAGCTGTAACCACTTTATCAGGTGGATTTGTTACTTTACTCTGAGTAAAATGCACTGACTTAGCTTTAGGCTAAGGCCTTGTATTAATAACAAGCGGTCAGATTTGAGGCTGGAATCAAGAATCCCATTCAAAGTATTCTCAAGGATGAAGAGCTGGTGCAACTGGCCTCAGATCATCCAGTATTGTGTAACCATATGCATTTCTAAACCGATATGGGGTTTACCTCGCTGTTTTTGGGTCTTTTATGCTGCCTTTTTTTCTTTTCTTTCTTTTTTTTGGTTTGGTTTTCTTGTAGTGGATTGTCTGTGTATTAGTAGTTGTAGTAGTAGTCATAGTGTTCTGGTCTTAGTTTGTGACACAGTTTTAATGCCTGGCATAGTGTCTCATGTTTATTTTGTTTCTCTCCTTTTTTGGAATGAGGACTGCTCTCTTCACTCTCCTTCTCTGTATCTCTCCATCTCTCTCTCTCTCTTCCCCCCTCCCTTATCTCTCTGTCTCTCGGTTCCCTCCATCCTTTGGTGCTCTGTTTCTCAACCCACCACATATGATGAGATTTTTCAGGAGAATGGTCACCAAATCTAATTGCTTTATTTGAATGATGCACCTTGGTATATCTATTTTCGTTTTGAACCGTAATCGTTCTTAGTTGTTTTTTTGTTTTTTGTTCTTCGTGTGTGCGCGCGCACGTGTGCGCGTGTTTGTGTTGCTCATGTGATATTTCTCCCTCTTCTCTTCGCTCCATCTTTATGTTTTCCTGTTTTTTAAATATGGACTGGCCCTGTCTCTTTACGCCACACCTGCATCCCTGACTCTCATGACTTAACCCCCCACCCCCCATCTATGTGTTTGACGTGGGAGTGCTGCGGTTGTTTTTTGATTGGTCTCTACGCTGCATCCAACGCTTGCTGATTGGCTGAAACTTCATTTACCTTTTTTGATTTGTTACTCACTCTCGGTCATGTGATGCGCCCATATATGGCTGTGTGTAATTTCTGTGTTCTAAGATTATTAATTTTGTCAAACAAATGTTTTTGCACCCCCTCTTTCTCTCCCTCTCTTTTGTATTTGGTTCAAATCAATATACATTCTTTTAGGTACGTAAACCCCACAAGTTTGGTTACATATGGAAGTGTGATTTTGTTTTTTTAAATTCTAATTCTGTCTGGGTTTATAGTCCATGATGGACTGGGAGGACAAACATGGGATTCTTTCAATTATTTTTTTTTATTTGAGACATGCCTTCCGTCTTGGTCTCTGTCGACTTGCATGTGCTCCCAGCGACCCAGTTTCATAATTCATACACGACTCAGAGACACACACATTGCTCTCCACACACACAGACCCAACACCGGCCCAGGCCCATCCCCATCAGTGTTAACCCGAACAGGTGCAGACAAAAACGCGCTCACTTATTACTAGCGCGCTGACACTAATTCGATTCCTTCACTTGATTTGCATTTCCGCATGTCTCCGCTCAGTGTGTGTGCATCAGACAGCTAGCCAGGCTAAGCTAATTGAATCATTTGTCGCTGACCTTGTCATCTGCAATGAGGGAAAAATGAGGTAAACCTCATTTCCATCTGAATGAAGCGCCACAGATAAAGAACATGACTCACAGGGGGATGGGGGGGGGGGGGGATTCGAGCTGCTGCCGAGGCTTTGATTGCCCTCTAAATGGGAGTGCGGCGTGCATGCACACAACACGAGTGCTCTCATTCCTCAGCCCCTCGCTCTCTTTGTCAAACACAAGCACACGCTCTGGGCTCATCTCGCCAGAGGGGTCATTAATCTTTAGCTCGCCGCACAGTCAGATGTGCAGCTCGGACAGTGCGGGCTATTAGCATCTCCCTCTCTTAAAGACCATCAAAGGCAGATGAAGATAGATCAAGGAGCCGGAGTGTGAGCCTTTGAAGCTCAGTAAGGAGATTATCAGCCATCTTGGATTAGAAGGCCTGAGAATTAGGCTTCAAATGTCAGCGAGCAGGCACAAAACATGCACGCACACCTAAAAAAAAAATATATATATATATAAAAGAAACATTCACAATAGTTTCACAGGAGCAAGCAGGAAAAAGCAAACGGCAGCTCGTTTTTTCTTAGCCGTGCCACCTTTTTACCTCCCTCCATCGCGAATCACCGGTCCTCTCCCACGCAGCTTGCTTTTTATTGCATGAGTGAGGATCGACTTAACAATCCCCATCCACCTCTACGCACAAACACAGACCGAGCAGAGCCAGAAAGCGTCACGGCCCCTGTCTGCTGTAGCACAGCACCGACGGCTTTTCCGAATCCCAGCCGCTGATACCGGGTAAACTTTTTCGACGCATAGAGAAACGAGTTAGATGATTTCAGGAAGTAAGCAGGGAGAACAAACGAAAGACGCCGTGACGCCAGTGGGCTCGCAGCCCAGTTTTTTTCTCTTTTTGCAATCTTCGAAGATAAAACCGACGTTTACACAGTCAAAACGAGTGATAGACAATTTTAATGACCCAGCCGCTTCAGCTAAACTCTGAGAACACACAATTGTCAGCCTCATCATAGCGATAGGCATGTTCATTGTAACACTACAGTAGAAGCAAACATATACATCTGCCTTGGCCTCCATTTGACTTTGTGTGCTAACTTTTCCTTTCCTTTGCTGAGCCCCCATGTGCGTGCGCTTGACTGTCTCCCCTTCCGTTCCCAGGTGAACAATGCCACCGCCAGAGTGATGACTAACAAGAAAATGGTCAGCCCCTACCCTAATGGAGAGGCTCTCAGCACGCTGCCCTATGGTAACAGCCTCAGTGTTCCACCTAACCTCTGCTCGTTACTAGGCACCTAACTCAAGGGATGAGCTAGTGATTAATGAGTGTTTCCACAGAGCTGTATGGAGATCTCTGTGAAAAACTGACCATTTGCCCTTTCTTTACTGTGACTATCAGCAGGGTGGAAACTGAGTCCCATGGTGGGGGCTGTATACGGACCAGAGATCTACGCAGGTAAGGCCGACCTCCATCTGTGCAGTTCCACAGCCACATTTATACCATCTTTGTATCAACCCAGCGTTTCCGAGCAGCTCTTCTCAATGCCACTTTGATTGCTTCTCAGGAGCAGAGCGCTAAAGCTAAATAATTCCACCTTTTATTGAGGATGGAAGGAGGGAGCACATGTCAACATGGCCCCTGCAGTCAGAGAGCTCTCAGGCCAGGCTAAAGGTTAAAATCAGGTGTAGCGTTAGTTCAACCCGCTTCAAAGAATGAGGCTTCACGGCCCTCTGATAAACTTGAGCGTTCGGATCAGACTCAAATGAGACAACGGCTCATTTTTCTTCACAGGACGTCTTTTTAACTCAGAAACAAAAGGGAAAAGAACATGTCTGAATACCCCAGCAAGTAAAGGCTGTGGGGGTTGTTGCAGCTGTTGTTGCAACTTTCTGTGGTCATGTCTTTCTAGACCAGAAGAGATTTTTGCAGGAATCGATATCAAACAATGGCATTCAGCATGTTCCGGACTAAAAGATAGCTCGCCCCCAACCCCCCCCCCCCCCCGTTACTTGCGTCGGTTTTCCTTTTTTTTTTCAAGGAAAATGGTGTTCTGTGACATTTGACTACCCCTGTACTCAAAGAAACCCACCTGAAGACAAGTTTGACCTTCGTCACTTTCCTTCACGTTGTCATGTTTTTCCCATTATATTTTCTTCTCTCTCCCCTCTCCCTGCCCCTCTACCAGTCCCTGGTTTTCCTTACCCATCGGCGGCAGCAGCAGCAACGACAGCAGCAGCAGCAGCGTTCCGCGGCGCCCACCTCCGGGGCCGGGGTCGTCCCGTTTACAGCGCCGTACGGGCCGCCGTGCCTCAGCCCGCCATCCCTGCCTACCCTGGGTAAAAAACAACAACAAAACACATCTGCTGACCTCACACCATTTTGGATCTGCCATTGATCTGAGGGGGGTTTCACATGGAACATCCCAGATTTTTTAAAAAGGAAGGGGAAAAAATTGGGGCTGTGTCGTGCTTATGCAAATCTGCTGAGCAATTCCTGGTGAACCGTTTTCCAGACTGCGTTTGCCCTGGACTTTTTACTCCCGCTCCTTCCAGTCCAGCTGGCAGCGCGTCACTCACTTCATGAGCTACTCGGCGGAGTGTGACGAACCGACGACGATCACATTTGAATAAACAGTCGGATTCCACAGTCAGCAGATTTGCATAAGCGCACACCATTCGCCGGTTTTCACAGACGCAGTCCTCGTCCACACAGATTTCTGCCAGTGACTCACTTTTGCTGTGATTTTTTTTTTTCTTGGTCTCACTGTGTACTGTGCATGTTTTGTCCTGCCGTGCTGATTGGCTGACGGGGCAGACGGTGGGGAAGGCGGTTGCTACTGCTACTGTGATTTTCTGGATAAAGCGGAAGCGGCTGATTAATTGAACGGTGGCAACTGCAGACGATGTGTTAAACCAAGCTAAACGGAATGAGATGGGAATTGGGGATGGGGGGGGGGGTGGGATTGAGGAAATACTCTCTCCATAATCCGCTCCACTTAAAGCTACGCCAGTTTGCCAGTTAAAAAAAAAGACCCAATCACAGCGGCCGCTGGTGGAGCTCAGATGGAAGCCGTATTTCCTCTGCATGCTGCATGGGTGTGAAATAACCACTTTTTTTTTCTCTCTCTCTTCCTCCTCTGCCCTCCCTTTCTCTTCCTGTTGCTGTGTTGTGATCCTCATCCACCCCTGGGTTTTTTTTGGGGACTGTGCACCACTCCATTTGCACCCCACCCCCCCCCGTTACCTTCCCACACCTCCTCCTCTCTCCTGTCTGTCCTCCTCCTCTCAGCGTGGTGTATCAGGATGGGTTTTACGGAGCTGCAGACTTGTATGTAAGTAAATTCACTTCCGACCCACACAACATTTCTTGCCCCCCTCCCTCCCTCCCTCACGGCCCTCTCCTGCTTTTTTTTTCTTTTGTCTTTCGTTGGTTTTGTTTTTTTTCCTGAATTTTCCTCTCTGGGTGATTCTGCATGTGCATCCCGCCACGCGCTGCACAGAGCTGCCTGCATAATGGTGAAGTCCTGACACCGAGGCGGGGGGAAGCCCAAAACAAAATGCCACAGACGGGGCGCAATATCCATTAGTTTCAACAAGCCGATTGAATGAGTTTTGAAAACGATACGGCCTAAGAGAGAAAAAAAGAGCTAAAGTGGCATCTTAATGATGGGATGGAGGTTACCAGACACCACTACCCAAGGCTGCTCTGTAGGCGGATGCAACAATGTGTGAGAACGTGAACAAGAGTGTGTGCGTGTGTGTGTATCCAGGTTGACAACAGTTGTTTCTGTTCTCTCTATAGACTAGTGTTTCAGGACTCAGTCCTTAGTCCCAGATTGCCTCAGGTAGGGTCACCTCAACATCAACCCTACGGTGTGCATTGTTTGACTTTTACTACCTCCTCTGAACTTATGAACCATCTTCTGATCTGACCTGGAACATGTTGTTTTTATTTCTGTTCAGTTGCTCTAAAGAAAACTACAGCTGCTTTGAGCTCTGCTTTACTTTTTCCACTAACTCGCTGCCAGTTTTTTTAGCGGACTTGGGAAGCCTTTGTTTGTTGTCTACTAAACCACTAAATCACATCGAGCGTGCGTTTTCCTTCAAGTCTCTTCAAAGGAGAATGTGGTCTCTTTTGTCTGGTTGGCTTGTTGATACCTGCAATTATTTAGTCTCCTTGCTGGCAAATGTATTTATTTATTTTTTTAAAGAGTAGCTAAAGTCATTCCTATTCCCCTACTGCTTTGAAATGTTAACCTTTGTTCACACAAAGCATTTTTTTTTTTAAAAGATTAAATATTAATATTAAGTCATTTTTTTGTTATATTTTTTGAGGCTTCAATTTGGATGGTGGGATGATTCTGTATGGCTCAGGTTTTCCTTTAGATCAGGGAGGCTCTTTATCTTCAAAGAGATCTCCAGTCAGCGTGAGATGCTCTGAAAGCCTTCTGCCCAGAGCGGCTCAGGTTTAAATGGAGAACATGCTCTCTTCCTGAATTAACCGTCCCTCCCAGGATAATAATTGAAGCATGTGCTGATCAGCTGCTGCATGCGGGCATTTTCTGTGTTAGTGCTCTGTGTCCCCCCCCCCTCCACTCACCCAGAGAGCCTCGTTCTCTCTACCATAACCCCCTCTCTGCTCTGCGCTGTGGCCTGAAGGCCTCGCGCTGGGATGTTCTCTGTTCTCTTTTTTTTCTGGTCCGATCGGGTAAGAACGCAGCGGGAGGATGCGTTTCTTTTCGTCTGTTTTTTTTTGTCGTTGTTTTTTATCATTTGTTGTTGTTTGGGGCCCTGCATGCAGTATTGGCGCGGTGAGGAGATCTTAGCATCATTTTAGGCTTGTGTGGGGTGTGTCTGTGTGTTTTTCCATCTTTCTCCCTGTTTTCATTTCTCCCTAAATTCACGTGAAAAAAGGCAAAACGATGACGGTGGCAAACGTGTGGTAAACACCACCCGTCTGCACCGGGACTAGCTATAGGACTCCTTCAGCCAGAGACAGAGAGGTCTCTTCTATGAGGCCTCAGCTGTGTGAACATCTTTCATACCCTCTGCCCCTCCCTTAGTAGTAGTCCAGTAACTTTATACAGTCCAGTTTAAATCCTCTCTCTCACTGATGATGTCATTCTTGTCCCAACACCCCCCCCCTCCTCCTCCTCTTCCCCCCACATGTGAATGCAATACACTGACACATGCCACAAAAACCTTCCACATTGTGAGAAAACAGGAAAAAGCTACCCAAAGCTGTTTCTCTGAAACAGATAGAAATGGAATTGTGTATTTGTGTGTCAGTTTATTGCTTCTTCCTTCTCATTCACCCCCCACGTCAAACTCTTCTTTCCTCGGAGGCGTGTCAGTTAGTTATATTGCGTTTGTGTGTGTGTGTGTCTGTAGGGAGGCTACCCCGCTGCCGCCGCTGCTGCTGCCTATCGCTACGCTCAGCCCGCTGCTGTAACCGGGGCGACGGCCGCCGCCGCCGCCTACAGTGACAGGTGAGGTCAACCGAGGACACGCACTCCCACTTAAACGCACTGGATCATTTAGGTCGGCAGTTCCCAAAGTTTTTGTTTTAACCTGGTCCCCCACACCTTAAAAAAAAAAAAGCAACAAGCCTTCTACTCCTCACCCTCTCTTGGTACCCCTCCTCCTTCATCTCCAACTTTGACCGTAGATGTTTCTCATGACAGTTTCCCTGATTTCAGCCAGTTGAGCATTTTTGTGAAAATAAATTAAGTATAGGCCACAACCTGGGTGTGCATTGACAATACAATGCATAGAAGAAGATAACTTCTTCTCTAATTCATCTTTTAAATGTAGCGTAGAAGGCTTCCTCTAAATAAACACATTTTTCATGTGTGATACACTCGAGCTTCGCTCTTGAAATGTCATTTGTTTTTTATCAAACATGCCTCTTCGTGCACTTTTTCAGCTCAGCCTCCCACCAGACGCCAGAAAGCTATGGGTGTTTGTGCTAACGGCCCTTGTGGTGTGCTTGTGTTCCCAGTTACGGCCGGGTGTACACCACAGATCCCTACCACGCTCTGACCCCGGCCGCCGCCGCCGCTTACGGCGTGGGAGCCATGGTGAGATCGGCCTCGGTGTATCCTTACGCAGTCCCCTCCGACCTGTCCCAGTCCTCTCATAGCTCTCTGTCTGCTGGTCTCTTTCAGGCCAGCCTATACCGAGCGGGATACAGCCGGTTCGCTCCGTACTAAAAAAAAAAACTAAAAAAAAACTAAACACACAAATCTCGACCTAAGGAATTTCAATTTTCTCCTGAAACCCGTTCTTCTCCAGCTCCCTTTGGCAGGAGCTCTCCCTTCCATTGTTTCTGCAGGCAGACTATAGTGAAATCTCACCTGTTTTTTTGTTTTGTTTTTCGGTTGGTTTTTTTCTGTCAGTGTGTTGGGTTTTTTTTTAATTACCCCACCCCGTCTCCCCTTCTTTGCGATGAGAACGCCAAACCATCAAGTCAAACTGTCTGTTCTCTTCTGTCTGTCGCTGACATGGAAGCAAAGAAATAACTGCCAGGAGCGTCCCCCAACCCCCACCACCCTCCTCCCCAAACATAAGCTGGAGCTGCTACTTTAAGCTGCTGGACAGGATTTGGGATGTTTTTAAAATATTAAAAAAAAGAAAGAAAGAAAACACTATGGGACCCCGGAAGGAGAGACTTGAGTGCTGTCCCTGCCACACTACGAACCCTTTTCAACCTGAGAGTTGCTGAGCTCGCAGTCAATCCCCCCCCCCCACACACACACGCCCAGAAGGCGTTTTTGAACAGAATCGCAGGACTGCCGCAGCACTAATTGTAAAAAGGTACTCACGTTTTTAAACACTACACACTACGTCCACACAGAGCTACAGCCCACGACCGGCATCCCTCTGGTGTGAATAAGGAATAATGAAAAAAAGGGTTCAGTTTAAAACCTAAAAAATACACAGGAATCATTTCTTTTTTTAAAGATGAGGTGGGGGAACTCGGAAGCGCCTCACTGACAGAAACCACTGTTGTCTTCTGAGAGCAACCATGAACTCTATCCTCCCTTTACCCCCACCACTTTATCCTTTTTTTTTTTTTTTGTCATTTTCAAGCGTTTCTCAACGTCCTCCCAGGTGTGAAAAAGAGCCCTTCCCACTAAAAAAAAAAGCTCAACAAAAAAAAAAATCCTAATAATTATGCTGAAAAACATGTGAAAATGACAAAGGAAAAAAAAGAGCTGTTTTTTTTCCTGCATTACCTCAGCTTTTTCTTGCTGCCATCAATGAGAAGCGTTTTTCCGGAATGTTGTTTTCTGTAAAAGAAGCTTTTGGTCCATTTCTCGCGTGTTTTTTTAAAAACGGTTTACATATGAGGACCTGAGACGGAACATATGAACCCGTGCTGGTTTTGAAAACTACGTGCATCCCCCCTCTGTGGTCCGTCCTCCACCTGCTAGCGCTTCTCCCAAAGCAGGACTCTGTGCTCTTTTCCGTCCCCCTGAACGGTGGAGACATTCCAGCTGTGCGGCGGCCGGTCGGAATGGATCGGGGTCGGATGGACAAAAGGACACAAAAAAGAAGATTTGGGAAAGCGGGAGCCCCTACATCAGGGGGGGGACCGAGCGGTGTCTGGTCTGGGCCGGATCTGGTGGATCCCAGCAGAAGAGCCCAGATCACAGCACAGAGGTTGGAGTGAGGCCGTGAAGAATGGGGGGGTGACGCCCCAAAAAGTGGACAAAACAAAAAACAAAGATGGGTTTTCTATTAAAAAGGCCCCCCCTCTCTCTCTCTCCCCCATGTAGTTTAACCCCCCCTCTCCAATCATGCTCTCACAGATTTAAAAGTTTTCCTTTCCGCCCGCTAGTGCGTCCGGTCACCCAGTGGTCTGCCACCATCGCCTCCCCTTTTCCCCTTTTTGGTTCCAAAGATTTTGAGAAGAAAGCACATTTCTTTCGGTTTCGTACTATTTGTCTCTGTGGTTGTGTTTTTGCCTTCTTGTTTTTGTTTGGTTTGTGTTTTTTTTACATTTGACAGCACGGTGCGTTAGCAGCGCCATAGGAACCTTCATGGAAGCATCTAGAAAGATAACATGGAGGGAGGACGTAGACAAAGCTCGCGGCATCTTGGGATTTCCGACCCGTTAAGCAAATATTTCACACCCTTAAGTTATCGCTGCTTATTTTTCGTCGGTTTCTTCGTTTTTTTGTTTGTTTTTCTGTTGTTTTTGGAGAGTTTTTTCCCCCCCACGCAAACGTGAAGTTTCACGCGCTTGCCGCGGGAGGAAAACCGGGGCCGGTGGGGAGTGGTGGGGGGGTCCGCACAATGTCAGAGAGCCCCGCTGGAGGCCGCCTTTCGAACAATGGAACGACGTGTCGGCGGTCGGCTGGCTGGTAGAGAAGGTGTGAAGCTGGTAATCATGAGGACATTTGGGGGGGAGGTGGGGGGGGGGTTACGTGTGGAGCGGCGTGTCGTCTCCGTGTGCAGTAGGTTCCGACGAGTATTTTCGACGAGCATTACCTCCTTTTTTTTCTTTTTTTTTCGGTCCTATCGTTCCTTCTACAAGTATTACGGGAAGTGTTGCTATGCATGCTTTTTGCGAGAGAGGAAGCGCGTCAGTCCTTTTTTTTTTTTGTCTTCATTTTTTACTCACCTGTGCATGGATTCGGATGGGCGGGAATGGTGGACTTTAGCACCGTGATGAGGCAGACGGGACGTCCCGCGGTCCCCAGTGACGTAGGCCGGAGGTGCTCTGCGCATCTGCGGTCGCCATGGTAACCAGAGGTCTGAGGTGTCGTTCGGTTCGTCCGGGACTCTCGTGGGTTTTGCCTCTCACGATGGAGACGAAACTTCCGGAAGGATGAGAGCCTGGGTGCGATTCTGAGTTCAGAGCTCTCAAATCCCCACTTTTAACTGCAGTGATTTAAGAAATGCGTTTGGATTGCATGTGGAGAGTCTTTTTTTTTGTTTTGTTTTTGGTCACATGCTCTTATGAATTTTTTGGTTTTGTTTTTTTCTAAATAAGTGATATGTATTTTTCTCACAGTGTTTTATTTTGCCATCCTTGTGTCTGCCCTCTGTTTATTCTCTTCATTATTATTGAATGTATATAATAAATAAACTGTTTGGTTTTTATCCTGGTCTTTGAATGACTTACTCGCCTCTAACAGGATTGAAGCCAAACCCACCCATATTTCTTTTTTTATCAGGAGCACTTTCCCGGATATGACTGCTTGACTCCAGAGCTGCTGGCTATTATGTAATCCCCCCCACCCCACCCCACCCCACTCTCGGGTGTTCTTGGTGAGGTGTTTGGCCGGCATGAAGGCATCCGGCTTTAAATAGTTCAGAGCCCAGTGCGACATGAGATAAGGAGGCCCCAGACTTTGATTAAACCTGCTAAAGAGGCCCCACCTCTCTGATAAAAACAAAAAGCAGGCCGCGGAGCTTTCCTCCTGTCCTGAAGTGCATTAGCCTGTCAGTCAGATGATTGATGGAGGCAACGATTAATCGGGACCAGCCTTGTTCATCCAGGCCCTGGTCCTCCGAGCCCTAAGCTCTCCAACCACCTCCAAACTTTCTGAAACGCTGGAAGGGGAGGGGGGGCGGGGGCGATATGGAACGAGCTTTAATTGCCTGTGGAGCAAATGGCCTTAAATGGTCTGGATGTGGCAGGAAACCTCATATCCCTGCTAATTGCTCTAATGCACAAGAGGCCAATTGCCAATTTGATGTTGCATTCTTTGAGTAATTGAAGTTGGGCTAATTGGAAGAAGAGATGGAAGCCTGTGTGATAAATGGAGGGTGAGGGGAAGGGGGGGGGCTTTCACAGAGGTGGGGCAGCAGCACACTAAACCGAGCCCCCTGCATCACGGCCGTTTATGGCGGCGTTATCTCCTCCATCCCTCCTGCTGTTATCAGTGGGTGCTCCCGCAGGGCTCCCCCTGGTGGCGAATCCCCGACACTGCGGCCCAGTCGACCTGCACACAGAAATTCTCTGGCAGTGTAAAATGGGTCCAAGTATGCCTTTTTTTTTAACAAAATAAACAGGTTAATGCTTATTTTCAGTCCACTTCTTCTTCTCAGCCCTTCCCTCCCTGTTTCTCTTCCTTAAAAGGTTTTTTTGTGGACGGTCTCTTCCATGGAGATCATCTCTGGTGAGTCAGAGAACAGTGGATGGATCTCAGTTGTACTTTATCATGTCTTTTATCCTTTTTCTTGAAGATTTTGCTCTCATCTGCTGCATCATTTCCAACATGAATTCTTTTCACCTCTTTATACCCAGTTACACCAATTTTTTTTGTCTTTTATGGACAAGCTGCGCCCCAAGTGGAGAATTGTCATGACTGCTATTTGGAACTCACCTTACCACCAGGAACTTGTTTTCCTGTCTTATTGTTTGTTTTTGGGTGTGCAGAGAAACACACCCAAACTGATTACTTTTTAGTGGCTGTTGGCCACTCAACAACACTGTTTAATATCCGGCTCTCTGCAAACGCAACCTTAATCATCTCTCTAATGCTCGAGTGTTGAGTAAATTGGGGGGGACACTGTGATAGAACCCCAGAAAGCCCTAAGAGCTGTTGATAAAGGGGTTACTGTTAAAGTCACAAGAAAGCTTAGAAGCCAAACTGGACAGAAGGGACGGATGGATCTGGATTTTCTTTCCTTGTGGAGAAAAAGCTTTTGCTTTTCGTGCAGGATCATCGACAGAACCCTTCCAACACCAGGATGTTAATCTGTGGTGGCACATGCCGTCCCACAGTGCTGACAGCCCCCCCGCCCGTCCCATCCTCCTCCCTGTCTCGTTTCATCTCGTCCAGCCCTCCATCCTCTCCAGCCTCTCCGCCTCGTTTTGGTCTCTCTCCTCGCCCTTTTGCGGCTCGGCAGTTTGCTACCTCCAGAGACCTGGCCCGGCACCACCTTTAGCTGCCACGTGGCCTTTAGCGCACACAAAGGCCACGTCCTCACCTCGCGCAGCACAGCCCCATGTCAGATATACACAGCCTCAAAGAGCAACCCAGCAGACTGCCGGCTCATTTCGTGGGTTTGTTTTATTCTTACTTTGGGACAGACACTGTGACATCCGACACAAAAATATTTACATTTGCATATTTACAGGTAAAAAGAGAACTTGTCAAGGGACCTCAGGCACACAATGGAGTTTTTGTTTTTTTGTTTTTTTTAATCCTGTCCATAATAGTCATCGTACGGTTCGGTGTAGTTGGTGGTCTGTGGGCGAGGAATGGTGTAGTCTTTCTCAGGGTCTATCTCCTGAAACACAGGGGCCCCTCATTAGTGCACCTTATTACATTTCTTCACCAGGAATATTGATTTCTCCCCTGTTAGATACTCACAGTCATAGAGAAGCCAGATTCATAAGGAGATCGCAGCTTTGGGTCCATTCTCCGGCCTGAGGGGAGATTTGAGGAGAGATTAAATTCTGTTTTTTGCATGCCGAACATCATACGAGCCAGAAGATTTTATCTTAGATTTAGGTTTTGTAGAGCTGCTTGATGTTTGCCCTTGGAAAAAAGCTTAAACGATTAGAAAAACAAATATTTCCTTTGGTTTAGTTATTTAGTTGTTATTCACTATTATAAGTTATATACAGTATATATATATATATATATATAAGCCAGTCTTGCCTTGGTTCTCCTCCAAGCCTGTATGAACTTCTCCTCAGCTTGTAATCCTGCTCCTCAAACTATTTAAAAACCAGCTGAGCCACTTCACACAGCAAGCAGTTGGAATGATGTCATTCCTCAAAGGTCTTCCAAGTTTTGAGGGATTTTTGTAACTGTAATTAACTGTAATTTAATCGTATTGGGTGCGAAAAGGTGTCACTTAACAAGTACCTGACAGCTTTTGCATGCTGAAACAATCCAGCCAGTTTATGGAGAGAAAGTAAAACAATTGATAAGGGACAACTCCCCCCGATTTGGTTCTCTTGCTCTTTTCTCTGATGAAAAAGCAGTGATTTCGGTAGAGTTTTAACCTAAATTTAGACCTTGTGTGGACACACAGATTATCAGTTAATTCTGGAAACCAGTTTAGGTCATTACTGTGTATGTCTCCTGTCCCGTTTACCACACTCTCACCTCTTCTGGGCTCGCCGTCGTTCTCGAAGCTGCCGTTTTCCTTTCCTTCCTTCTGGCTTCCCAGTCCCGGGATGTCGGCGTTGGGGCTGGTCCAGCCCGCGAAGCTCAGGGGTAGGTCCCTGGCCGCGGCCTCGCCTCTGCAGAAGAAGGCCACCTGGGACAGACCGTGGCCCAGCAGCAGCACCCAGCCGTTGGCCACCAGCGCGATGCTCAGCGCCGGGTCGTCCCAGGCGGGGCGCCGGCCGGCCTCCAGGTTCCCCCGGGTCAGCATGCCGATCCACGCCGCCCAGACGGCGACGGACGCCAGCGCCGTGAGGCAGAGCAGCGCGGCCTGGGCCCGCCAGTGGCGGCGGACGGAGCCCGTGTAGCTGTAGCTGTAGGTGGAGCAGGAGCGGCACAGGATGTGCAGCGACAGGACGGCGGCCAGGGCCAGGAGGCAGAGCACGTAGATCTGCAGCATGGCGAACTCGCCCTGGCTGTACTCGCACGGCCTCCCGTCCCGGACCAGCACCACCAGCAGCCACTGCGCCGAGATGATGACCTGCACGGCGGAGAGCCCCACGGCCACGGCGGGCTCGCCCCAGCCGCGGGCGGCGGCGAAACCCAGAAGGGCCAGGCAGCGCGCCAGCAGGCAGGAGAAGGCCAGGGCGAAGAGCACGCTGAAGAGGAAGACCCTGGTGGGGCAGGTCTCCGCGTTGAGCCGGACGATGAAGGCGAAAGTCGCGGCGAAGATCCCGGCGGTGGCCAGCAGGAACAGGGACATGGACAGCACCACGCCGCCCACGCCGCCGCGCGGCGGCCCCCGGGACGAGGCGCAGGCGCACAGAGTCCAGAGCAGGAGGCCACAGAGGAGGCTAACGGTCAGCAGGAAGCCCGCCGAGGCCAGGGCCTCCAGCACGATGCCCCAGGCCGCCCGCCGGTCGCACAGGTATCTGTAGGCGGGGTCCAGCCCGGCGCCGCAGCCCCGCACCCGCCTCGGGGAAGTGGCGTTTGAGGAAGCGGTGGTGCCGTTGGCGGCGGGGCTGATAGTGCTGCTGCTGTTGGTCTGACAAAGACACGCCAGGGGGAGGCAGGCCAGGAAAAGCAGGGGCAGGAGGGACCTGTGCTTCTGGGATGAAACGGCCATGATCCTTTGATTCATCCGCCCCAGGATTTGGTCTGTCTGTCTGTCTGTCTTTTTTTTTTTTTTTAACTCTCCTTGGATAAAAGCAGGTTATTGTTCCTGTAACGAGAAGCACATTGCAGTCACTTGAGGGGGGAAAGAAAGGGTTTCAAAATGTTGAGGCTCACGCTGCAACGTTTGCAGGCGGTTCTTGGCCCAGAGAGGCAGAACGGGGAAAAGAGGTTTATCAGGTAGAGGGCAGGAGCAGGGAGTGTACAAACATGCCAGAACAAAGCAGAAAGGTGAGCGATCGGGACTAAAGCTGCGGGAAAGAACAGCAACGGCAGCCCAGAGGAGAGGCCGAGACAGAAAATGGATCATTAAACCCAAAAAAAAAAAAGATCCCTCACTCTCTCGCACCGTACGAGTCAGAGTGGAGGTGAGAGACGGGCAGAGATATCCACTCCTGATAGATGATTGTCACTTCCTGCAGACCACAGTGGAGCCTTTTGTTTCCCTGTCAGGGATTTAAAAAGTGACCTTTCGGTAGTCTTAAGAACCAAACGTATTAACTTCGCCCGGCTTCTGGCGTTGAATAAAGCGTTAAAAAGGTTATTTCCACCTCATTGTGCAATCACAGAGACCTGCTTATTCCAGTGTGAGTCTAGCTGCCAGTTGTGATCTGGAGCTGTGAAGAAAGTAGCTGAGCGTGTGAAGTGTTTTTTAGTGTCCAAACCCGAGAGGTGAATCAGAAAACGAGGTTACTGTCAAAGCCTGAGCAAACCTGCCGGAGTGTGACACTTACCTTTTGTCCTTTCAGACGAGAATTGAAACACTTTGCAAACCCTCCCTCTCTCTACGCCTCTTGTCAGGATTAAGTGCTCATAACTCAGTCACCTCAAAGTAAAAAGAATCCAAACGAGGACGGACGAATAGGACTGGTTTGATCTCCCATCGGCAGAAGACAGAAACCTTCACCCTGCTCACTCTTTCCTCTAAAAAAAAAACCCCCACCTTTCCATCTGGCTGGGTCCCTCCCTGAGACGAGAGGTGGGGCTCATCCACCTGGACGGGTGATGAGTGGTGGCACCTCCCAGCCTCACACGTTTCCCACCAGCATTTGCATCCGACGGCTTGATAAGGTGGAGAGAGCTGGTTCATGAACACACCGGGCTCAGGGGGGGGGGTGAGGAGTGTGAGGCCATGAGGAAGGGCGTGGAGGTGAGTCCTACTGACTCATCCCGGTGTCACCGGGATGCGGAGCAGGAGTAGTTGTTGCCACAGTTACCGGTAAATCACAGCAACAACATTTGAGAATTGCAAGTCAGGCCCCAAGGGGGTTGTTGCAACGCGACCGGAGGATTCTTTCAACTGTTGTTCTTTGGTAGCTCGCACAAACCGCCCGGGCTCATGCCCGTACACGCGCTCTCGAGGTGTGTTCCGCTAAACCTGATGTCATCCTTAAGCTGCGAGAAGGCCAGAGGCAGAGCTTTGGTGTTCTGTTTCCAAGCTCGTTTGTTGTCAGAGCCGCATGTCTGCACGGTGTGTTTGTGAGAACCAGGTGAATGATAAGATCTGTTGAATATTTCAAAAGAACCAGCTGGTTACTTTGAGTCTGAAGTGAGAAATGTTAAGATGAGTTGCACAGATTCAGCTGCTCAATAAAGCAGAAATGGCCTGTTATTAGCAGAGCTGCTTGGGGTTACCTGGCTGATTGGCTAGGAATTTAGCCTAAATGACATAAAAACACCAAAGCTGAGAAATTGCTTTAATCAGTAAACAGTATTATAGTGTTTGAATTTTTATTTAACAGATCCAAGTCCAAATGTTGGATTTGCAGGGGCCTCTGTGACCACTCTTATTGTACTGAAATGATCCATGAAATGAGCTGTCAGCAGATTGACGGTAAAGGTGTCAAGATTAGGTATAAAAGGAACCATTAAAGTCTTTGCAAACAAATCAAACACATTAAACAAATCCGACAGGAGAAATTAGTTATTTTCCATGTGGCTCACACATGCTGTTCTGTGGCCTCCTTGTGATATGACGTTGGCATAAATCCTCCACAATTGTTTCCATTCTGAGAGTAATCTGTCTGCTGCCTGCCCTATCCCTCCTTTCCTTTTATTTAACTATAGACATTATGAGCCGGTTTGAAACACTTACCCACATTGTTTTGAATAAATGACTCATACTTATTTTTTCTACCAAGGTAACTGTGAGATGTACTAGCCAATGGTTTCCTTTTTCTTTTTGAAGCATCAGCCAATTACACTAATTAGTTGCTCCCTAGCATCTCGGAATATTAAAATTCCTTATTGCTTCATTCAAACAATCAGCAGACCTTTCTGATTTTCCATATTTGATATCTTGTATTTATTTTCTGTTAGAAATAAGGGAAAGTTATTTAAAACTTTTTGTCATATTTTATCCAGCATTTAAAATCGTTTGAACTGGTCCATAATTTTTTTAAGTGACTGTCATGTGACAGTATGTGGTCGTTCAGATGGACATGAATAGCCCATGTCTTTTACTGTTCCTTTTTTTCTAATATATCCTCAGTATGAATTTATGGAAATAAACACTTGTGTTGTACCTGTGTTCTAAAAATAAGAGGAGGATGACAAAGTACTGAAAATAGACTCATTTTTATTGCATCTATTGGTACATACCAGTTCACAGTACATATTCTGTAGCATTGTGCTCACAAACACAAAACACATGCAGTATATGCCGGTATTTTTTCTCATAGGAGGGAGCTGGGTTCAGAAAGCAACGGGGAGAGAGGGAGGTGAAGTGTGAGATGAGAGGGAGTTCCTCCTCTGGGATCACATGAAGGTGCATTGTAGCTTTCACCTTTAACTGCTCGTTGCCCTCTCCTTGCGTCCCGTGGTGTTTACAATAGCGCCAGTCACAAAGCGTAGAAAATACAATGCAAAACAAAAGAGGAGGGAAGTACAAAAGGTAAGACTGGAAGGCAAGGTCAAAAAGGTACGCAACTCTGAGGATGCATTATTTACATTTTAACCTAGAGCTAGAAGCAAATACGAGCTAGTGTGCGGCTAGCCTTTGGCTTGCATCCTTTGCAGCGAGTCAGGAGGGCCAGAGAGGGAGACGGGGAAGTCAAGAGGTAGAGAGGAGAGGTCCAGAATACTGCTTTAGATGGATAGGGGGAAGGAAAAAGGTATGTGGAGGTTTTTCCCGTCTTCTCAATTCAAGTATAATATAAATATAAATATATATATACTGCAAGCAGTATAATGTTATATTATAAAAAATAATAACGCCATCCACTTAGTGGAGTTAAGCACGAGGTAGACAGACGAGAGGGCATTAGTGGGTTAGCCGGCTGCCTTATCTTGGCCGGCCGAGCTCAAGGTGGAGAAAAAAAAAGGCAGGGAAGAGAGGATCAGAGGGAAGGTCTGAGGAAGGCAGGAGGTTTAGATGATGCCGTATTTGGCCAGGTCGCTGAGCTCCATGTCGCCAAAGGCTTCCCATGGGCACACCACTGTGATGTCTGTGCCGAGACCCTCCATGCCGGGGATGTCGTCACCGAATCTGGCGAGAGAGGGAACAGGAGTGGTCAGCGGGAAAAGAAGAAAACCCTAAATGAATCAGCAGGTAAGTGTGAATGAATGAGTCTGTACCCCTTCTGGCCTGGCTTGGGGGCTTTGCTCTTGAATGTACGAGTCTGCCTCTGCTTGAACTTGGGTGGTCCCTTCTTGGGTGTTGTTGGGCCGGTGGCTCCGCCGGGGGCCAGGGCGCTTCCTGCAGGTGGGCTGGAGTTCATTTCTGCTGAGTGTCTGGGGGAGAAGAAGAAAAAAATTAAAAAGACGATGTAAACAATTTTTTTCAAAGCCTGCTTTCCTGGCATGGCTTCTTCTGCCTCCTGCTGCCTTGCTTTAATCCTGTTTGCTTCCAAGCCCTTAATGCCAATCAGTGGAGATTATGCAGATTAGGCTAAACAGCCAGATAAACCTTAATCCCACTGCAATCCTCATCCGACTAATTGCCCTTTCTCATGCGAAACAAGAAAACAACCTCCATTCTTGACCCCAAACTTTTACTGGAGGTTGAAACTCGACCTCTTACATGCTGACTTCCTCACAACTGAGATCAATTGACCGTTGAAATGTACTATTATACTATTTTTCTCTTGTTTTTCCTCTAGATCAGCGTCCAGCCAAAGTTTCCCCTTGCCTTTTTCTGCGGATGCAGCTAAACCTGTCGGGGGCCTTTGACCGAGGTGAAAAACTCTGTTGTTTGGCCCGTTTTGCAGCTCAAACATATGCGCCTGTCCTGCATCAGCACCACGGTCGGGATGCTGGCCAGCAGATTATTAGCCATCTGTCTGCTGTGACTGTTGCTCTTAAATCGGCTTTACTCCCGGCTTTGGAAATACCCGCCCGGGCATCAGCCCTCTTCCGCTTTTCAGTAATTTCTGGCTTCCTCAGCAGCAACGACTGAAGTCTGGATTAAAAGACATCACCGACTTCTGGTATGATTCCTAGTATTTCTTTTAAATTATTATTTCCAGTTACACCCTCTCTCTATTTTAACTAGATGTCTGAGTTCCTTTTCCTTCAATCATTGCTTTACAGCTTTGGAAGCAACGTTAGGTTAAGGCACAGCTATCTGTGCACGATTGCTCTACAAAAGGTTCCCTTTTCTAAATCCTGGCCCTACCCTGCATCAGATCCATAGAAGCTGTAGTTGTAAAGTACAGTTTTGGAAGCCTCATGTGGCGAACAAGCAGCCGCCGATAGTCTGAATAAGTCAGAAAGGTCTAATTTACCAATCGAAAAGCCAAGTTGCTGAAGCAACAGGAGTAGTTTGTTCCTACCTGTTCGCACAAGTTTCCCGAGAGGCTTCTGCTTAGAGCTTCTTCTTCTTCTTCAGTCTTCTCCTCGAGTCCGTGCTGCCTGGTCGGCTTGGTCCTGCTTTTATACCTCCACCCCTAATCCCCACATCCTCTTCTTTACAGTCACATGGTCCCCGGTAAAGGTCAGCCAAACTCCTCCACCAAACCAGCATCCTCCCCCCCCCCCCAACCCTCCCTGATCTCAGACAATGTCAGAGATCAGTCTGGAAAGATTTTAACCAGCTTATCCCTCTAAACCCCGGCACGCCTGCTTTTAGCTGTTCTCCCTGAAGACGATTCTGCGGGTCGCGTTTCTGTTCCATGTGAGGTGCTCCTTGTCACATGTGAAAAAGTCGTCTGTGATTATTTTTAGCACGCAGTGGTCCCACTCACTTTGCGGAGATTTGAAGATCTCCGCAAACAGTTGATCAGAACGTTCAACAATGCTCTGTTTTCTGGGGGGAAAAAACTACATCCTGGAAGCTTCAGTTCACGTAGACGTCAATTAACATTTCTCACCAATTTCATTTTAACATTTTTGCAGATTGGTTACTAATTGTTTCATAATTTGATGCCCCCAGAGCAACGGCCCCTCTCAAATGCAGAAAAGGCTGAAAGAACACAAAAAACTCTGAATTCATCATCTAACCTACCTATGAATATGCCACACACTTTTGGAAACCCTCACACATTTATTGACTACTCAATGAACAGCCACTCATTATACAGTGGGGGAAATAAGTATTTGACCCCTTGCTGATTTTTCAGGTTTACCCACTTACAAAGAATGCAACAATCTATAACTTTAAGAATATGTACATTCTAACAGTGAAAGACAGAATCCCAAAGAAAATTCCAGAAAATCACATCATATAAATTTATAAAAATTGATAACCATCTGATGAAGAAAAACAAGCATTCTTTGTAAGTGGGCAAACCTGAAAAATCAGCAAGGGGTCAAATACTTATTTCCCCCACTGTATCATTACGGCCCCTAAAAATGGCCAACATTCATCCTCCTGATAGCATGAGCGTCGTATCCAAATGAATTCGGTTGAATTTCTTTCAAGAGCGCACCCTCTTACTCTTACATTGAAAAAAGAAATAAATTAAATGAAATACAGGAGTTTTTTTCCAGTTTTTAAAGAACAACACATTCTGTTGTCAGAGATGTAAATCCTTGACCTCGACTTCATGCTTTGGTTTAACATGAATTATAGGTCTGGTTTCATCCCGATACAGTTTAATGATTGACCGTTAGGCCTGACTGAGAGGTCAGGGAGTCACTCCAGTTTGCGGCACCTGATTAGTCTGATGACCCGTGGTGCTAAAGTCTAGTGATACCAGACTATGGTCATTAGGATTTGGGCTAGATTATATCCTGTGCATGTTAGCTGAGGTTTTGAGGGCAGCTATTGAGAACCCAGATGAGAAGGAGGACAGGACAACGACTAAGCTTCTTTATACAGAATGTGGGCCGGAGATATGGAGAAGATGTTCTCTTTTTTTAACACGTTCTGCAACTGAACACATGCTTATGTAAATTCCCTCTCTGTTTTTGTTTTTATTGTGGATATCACACTTCAAATCTAGCCGGCCCACACATGAGTTTGTGTTTATCAGAAGCTTTTAAAGTAAGGACGCATTGTCGGATGTCGTGATTTTTCATTTCCGTAACGTCCATTTGTTCCTTTCTGTGTGGAAATGATATTTTTTTATTTTTGTTTTTCCTTTGTTTTGTTTTTTTAGAAAAAATCAGCTGTGACTCGGAATATCTGTGGCCTCGTTAGAAAATGAAGGCTCACAATTAAACCGCAAGCTAAACTCCACTGCCACCCCACACAGTTCCTCTTCCTCGTCTTGCAGGTCAGTGTGTCAGGTTTCACAGCTCAGGCCTGTGTACAAGTCGCTAATGCTGCTTCCTCTAATTGGATTAAGGACAGGACAGGACACTGAAACACTGCTCCGGGGCAGCAAACTGTTACGCGGCTGTAGAAAATGTGGGTGTTTTTATATATTTGGCTCGACAGCATGTCGGCCAAAGACCACATCCACAAACATGGCACTCGTGGATTCCGTTCAAACGAAAAAATGAATAATTATGACTTTAAAAACAACGCGTCATCACTTTAGATAGTTCTGTTAGCTCTGTTAGCCTCTATCTGTAACCCCAGTGTGGTGGAGTGTCTGAGGTTACAGATAAATGTTATGAAGATAAAATGTCTGAGGGAGAGAGAAGAGGGACATTCATTCTAGAGAGAATACCTCTTTTTATGTAAGAAAACTAAACCCAGGACCTTAACGCATGAATCATGTGTGTCCCGGCACGTCTGGTCCTGTCTGAATTGGGGCACAGAGCTCAGACCGTCTGGATTTTGGTGAATATGAGGTCAGATGTTGGACTTTTATGACTGTTGACGGCTGCAGAGGAGGCTCAAAGTGCCGTGGCCAGAAAAGCCCTGCCTTAGACGTTCCGAGCTTTAAAAAAAATCTTGCCTACTTTAACCTCTGACCCCCAAACCGCTTTTACTGGGAGCGTCCCCACCTTTTCTTTTCAGACCTCGGCCTCAGACGCTTTCATTCGTTCGTAGAGCAGGGCTCTTCAAAAGCAGCCGTCTCTTTCTCTCATTTGTGTGATTTGAGTTTGTGCTGTGGAGGAAAAACCTTTAAGCTGGCAAACTGTGTCAGGCTTCACCGATTCTATAATAAGAACGTTTTCCAGGAACACGGGTGGTTTAAACCAGATGATTTGGCAAAATGTCTCCCCCCGACTCAGGTCAGGAGATAGTGTTTATTCCTTTCCCATGGACATTTAGGGGTAAAGCTTGCATTAACATATATTCTTTGTTAAGCACTCAAAGTGTCCTTTTTCAGGCTTTTTTTTATTTTTATCTGTTTGTACAAACGAGGATCATATTATTATTATAATTATTTTTTTTCAATGGTTGAAGACGTGCTGTGAAAGCAGAGATTCCCTATTTAACTTCACAGAACATATCTAATCCGCACTGACTGCATCCCTCTTTACCTTCTCTGCTTTTGCTCTGTTTGTATTCCATACTTGAAATAGATTTAGCTTACTCTGGGTTTTTTTTCTTTTTACTGTAATTTTAGACTGATGTGTCCCATTCGGTAGGTGATGTGGACAAAGGTGTCAGCCCCATGTCCATACATAGATATGTTTGTGTACAGATAGACTGATGGGCAGACACGCAGACATGTGGGTGCACTGCAGACACACCCTATGTAAACATGTCTTTGCTTCTAGCTTTAAGGGGGGAAAGTGAATCGCTCCCTGTTTGAGGGTGAATGATGTCGTGATGAGGTATGTTTTGAACTGGCTCGGGTTGTTCAAATACATCACCAAATATCACAACGTTTGTTTATTCTTATGTCTTGGACTGGTGAAACATTGGTACAAAGGAGCTGTAGAACATCATTAGCTCATTTTTGCCACTTTAAATTTCGGCTGGTGGCATTTGCACCATAAACGGAAAGGTCTGTATTTGCATTAGTTATTGAGCTGGTTATATAAGTGGAATGTTCAATTAAAAGACCCCTAACCCATTAACATCCTGATCAACCATTTGGTAGAGCACATCTTTTATACTTAGTCATAGGATATACTTACCAAAACTACCTGTAAAATCAAGTTTATGTAAGCAATGCATAAATTAAGCATGGGTTATGACATTTCTTTTTGTAAAATATCACACTTTTACCATAAAGTGTCACCCCCAACCAACTGAAAAGGCAGCGATATAGGTTGTTATTGTTCCACAGCAATGAATAAAATGCAATATTTTTTACAGAATGCGTCCCATTTGAAATTTAGCAGTGCATCAGTGCTACTGTTTGGCAAATAGAGGAGCAAGGAGCGGTACATTTTCCATAAGATTTTGTCATTTTGAAATAAATATATAGAACCACAAGGCCTATGACAAAGAGTTAAGATAATTTTCTTCCCAGAAATTATTTTTAGAAATAAAATGTTTCTTTCTTGATTTGTAAAGTAAGAAAAACATGTGTTCATGTGAGTATGTTGTTTCAAGTACACAACATAAAAAACAGAACATGTAACCTACCAGCATATGATTATATACTTTTAGCATTCTTTTTTAAAATGTGTCCTTAAGACAATTAACATTTCCCACAATTCTCTTGGTTAACTTCTGCCACAAGAACACATTTTTAAAGCTATATTTCCAGCAGTTGGCCACAACGACCTCCTCTGCGATATATTTTAAACATGACAATCCCTAAAGCGTGTCTTGCCTTGTGTTTTACATAAGTCCTTTCTTTTCGGTTCAGCCCTCTCTCTCTCTCTGAATTAAGTTCCACAGCTCGGCTTAGAGAAAATTCACTTAAGATACAACCATATTATGCATTTCCAATTTCCCTCCGTTCTGCTCATTTAAGCTTTGTGGTGCGAAATGCCCTCTGTTTCTGTCGACATCTTTGACTTTCATGACGGTTGACAAATTCCTTTCTGGGATGATTTCCAATTTCCCTCTTCTGTTCTCTGGGTGGTATGTTCAAAGACGCTTTGGGCTTTACTTTCACTAACTTGTTTCCCTTCTTCTCTTTCCAAAAACAGACCTTTTTTTCTATTATTGCTGCACAAACTGGCTCATTAGTCCTTCTGATTGTTCTTTTCTAATTTGGGCATGCTTTCGGGGGCTGATGTCAGTTTTTCCTTTGTGTGCCAGTGTTACGTAACATCTTAAGAAGTCGGTGTGCTCAACCAAATGAACAGTGGAAACAATTCTCTGAAGGACAGATTGACCTGAATCTCCTTTCACTGGCTTACGTTGTTTGTCGTCACAAAGCTTTTCCGAGGATATCTTCAGGAGCTCTCTGAGTCTTTTGTTCCTCTCCTCATACCTTTCACTTAATTGTTTTTTTTTTGTTACATTTACCCCATCTTGAATGAATATCTTGAAAGAAAGTATCCTATTATTGCTATATGTAAGAAATATATTCTTTCTAAGACATGCTGAAAATTGGATTTAAGCTTTTCCCTTTCCCCTTTGTTTTGATCCAGTGCCCATACATAGTGTAAACAGGCAAAGTGCTATTTCTTAGCTTTAGCTTTCCTCTCAAACTCCTCGATTAGTCTGTTAAAGGAAATGGGATCACTGTGCGTAAACGCAGAATTGTTACGATCAGCGAGTTCCCTTCTGCCCTGAAATAAAAATCCTTGTTTCCTTTTGCCTGTCGGGCTGCGCCGAGCTGTGAACGCCGAACTCAGCGAGCACGCGTGTGGGTGTGAAGTCATTTGTTTCTTAATATTTCATTTGAGGCAGCAATAAAAAACACCGGGCTCAGGAAACGCGCCAGGCAGCGGACAGCCTAGCAACCCCGCAGCTGTTTTTGTCTGAATGTAAAACAGATGAATAATAAAAAAATAAAAAAAAAGATTCT